TAGAAACTTTATCTAGGAAAGAGTCTTGAATTCCAGTGTCAAGAAATTCTCCACTGTTTCATAACCCTGGGCAATTCACTCGAAATTTCTGAGGATCATCATTTTCTGTAATGCGAATTTGCTGGTTGCCTTCCACTCCCAACTCACACTAAGAATATTTCCTTTTCTTTTATCAAGAATACCCTGGTTATTCATTAGCGAAATAACCCCTTTCTCTCCCTCAGCTTCAGGAGCAGGCTTTGATTCACTTAACTCAGTCAGGGATGGCTGGCCATGGTGATGTTTCAGATGTGAGCGTGCACAGAAATATAAGCCAATGATATCAGGAAAACATCTGCAGGACTCCTAGTGAAAAACACTGCCTCTTTCTTCTGTGAGATCTTACTGGAAGAAAACCTTCTATTCCCCTGTACTTGGCTACGTGTTAAGAGTGAGGTCTAGAACTGTTGCAGCCCTTTTGTACCACCAGGGGGGCCAGATGAAGCCTGCACGATGGAAAGCAGATAGGAGTGACAGAGAAAATAACCATAGTAGCTTAATTTGGGCTATGGTTCAAGGTATCTGTGAAGCTAGATCTGCCCTTCTGCCTCAGACACCATAGGTCCTTGATGAGTGTTTATCATTAAGCAAAACTATACAAACACACACATACAACATTTATTGGCAAATTAATATCAAATATTAACTTGCTTTTATCTTCCAAGTTAAAATACCCTCCAGAGCAGATAAATTCCTAGTTTATATAATTTGAAAAATTAAGTCTGTTAATAGAAAACTATTTGGCATAGACCTTTTACTGAGATGAAAACCAACTAATTTTCTTCCACTCATATATAAAGATATTGTTTTACTTAATTCCGCTTTTACAGGTGACTGATTTCCTCATTCACCAAACCTCAGGGAGTTTTCCTGGGGAATATTGTTTAAGGGGAAAGAAATAAGAAAACATGATAATAGCTACTTGAGTTCTTATTCAATAAACAGTAAATAATTCTAGAAAATATTCATCAGGTAGACTGCCAGACTTCAAATTACTCAAACGCCAAATATAGCTTCAAATATCTCCCTGATTATTCTAGATTTTGATTCTAAGATACTTAGATATTCAGCTAGGGTTTTCTGTTTTTGTTTTAGAATTTGTTTCTAATCAAATCATTTGAAAATTTAAGTAGGAAAGTAATGATTTAGACATGTACTTAAAAAATTAAAACTCACTTAATAATCTTAATACTACCGTTTTTATTCTCCAGGCAAGTAACACTAAATAGCATTCACTATAGTTGCTCCGCTGTTAGACTCTGCAAAATTGATCATATGGAAATCTCTAGACTGGCAGAAGTTTTTGAAGGTAAATTCACTGACTAGAACCTACCCACAAATTATTCATATTTTGGCAATTCCACCTTTCTTTGAATAATATATTTGCTTTTTTCTCCTTAAGATCTGTAATTTCTATTTGAAAATAAAGTGGCTTTTCAAATACAATGTAAAATATTTTAAAGAAATCTACAATAAAAAATATACACCAGGAAAATTTCCTAATCTCTACTTCTCTGCCAAAATAGTTTTTAAAAACTAAAATTACTTAAATTGAATAGAGATGCTAAAATAAAAAATATTTATAAATTGCATCTTGAAGACCAATATGATGTGTTTATTTTCAAATTGAAGAAACAGACAGATAAATGCTAAGTGTAGGGTTTTTTGCCTCTCATTTTCATTAGTTTTATTCCTTTAATTTCATTGGTAATCAGCAAAGGAATAAAAAAGAGTTTTAAAAGTACAGATGCCAACATAGGTTGGGTTTCCTTTGTTTAAAATCTCAGATAGGACAAAATTAATTTTGAAAATATGTAATTTGATCTTTCTTGTTTTTAAGTTAGCACCTTACTTAAATACAGCATAGAAAATGAAAGCATGTGAATAGTTTTTGCTATTCAAGTTATTGATTTAAAAAATCATGTATCTGTCTATCTAGGGAGTTGGGGGATGATAGTCAATTAGACTGTAAGAGTTTATGATGATAAGGTCTTTTCCTTTATCTATTATTAAAGCCTTACATAAAGCTGTATGTCAAGGTTGAAAAATTTCTCCTGACTTAGAAAAAGCCACCACACATGATGAAAGGATCCCATACTGGATGTTAGGAAACTAAAATTCCAGTCCCAACTCTTTATTATATTGCAGGAGCAGGGCAAGATTTTGAACTCTACTGGACCTCAGTTTGTCCATCTATAAATTTAAAGAGCAATGTGGAACCACCTTAGGAAATGTGTGGGGTTGTAATCACTCATGGTCCAGAATATACTAGTTGCCCCTTGGATGGCAGGAAGTAGTTTTCTCTGACCCTCTCAACAGCTGATCTGCCTGTTTTATGGGTGGAAAATTGAGGCCAGAGGGATGATTGTGAACATAGCTGAAGGAACAGACTATGTAACATCTTAAGTTCCCTTAAGTGAACTTAAGATGCTATGTCTTGAAGGTATTAATACTTTCTTAGGTTGATGGGCCAGGTCAGGGCCATACTACTGGCTCCTACAGAGATGGGTTAGTGGCAGGAGGGTACGTGCTGAGAAAGTGCTGCTGGCACCCCACTGTCTGGGTTTCAGACTGGATCCGAGCGTGAATGGATTCTAGTTTGCGTAATGAAAGCAAGCGGAAGAAACAGTAACACTATCTTACTTCTAACAAGATTTAAGTGATCAAGAAACGACACCTAGGCTAGGATTTTCATTTAAGATTAATAAATTGTTCAGGCTTATCTTTGCAACATCCATCTAGCTCCCATTGCCTGCAAACAGAATCAAGTAGAAAAGAAATCTCCCTTGAACTCCATGGGAAATTAAGTGACAACAAATTGACTATTAAATGCACAAACAAGAAGCAAACCCTCCGAGCCCTTCGACCACATCTTTCCAGCCTTATTTCTGAGAATAGAAAATTCTAAGCTCAATTTGAGTGTCACTATAAACTCCTCTCTGTGCCAGATGACTCTATGCACATATTTATATCCAAAGTACAAACAACTTAAAATGTTTACACTGAGTGGTAATGGAAATCATGTGTCAAATACAATGAGGGGAGGAGAGTAGAGCTTTCTTCAGAACTAAAGCTTAAAGATATACAATATCATGGAAAATCTGGCTTACAAGTAAGAATGCATTGTTTACCTATTTCATTTAATTATAGAGATCATGCATTTTCACCCTTTACACACAATTTCTGAAGTCTGGGTTTTTTTGTTGTTGTTGTTGTTTGCTCTGTAGTGTTGCCTGAAGCTATGAAAGGATCCTAGCTCCTCATACACAGTCTCAAAAACCATGGCCACACACATTCCTGTGATTTGTAATCCCCATTTCCTTTAAGCTCTCACCCCCGGAGAGAGGCAGTGAAGGATTCTTCTATCAAATCCAAAAGCAGAAGAGCAAACACAGTAAAGAAAGCCCTCCTGAGATGTCCTCAGGGGCCTTCTGCCTGTCAGCTTTCCTATTAGAGCACTGTAAAGACCGGGAAAACTGTTAAGGGCCAGGAACAGAATTCTGGAATCTTTCTCTGTGAGAGAGTCCTCTGAATTTCTCACTAAGTACAAGCCTGAGGAGTCCGCCTCCCCTCAGCTTCTCATCACCAGTGATTCAGGGACAGCCATTCCCAGAGCTCTGTAGAAGAGACAGCGTACTAGTTCCACAGCCCTGTTTCCCCCCTCAACAGAATCCACCCTGAGGTTAATGCTTAAAGGGCCAGGAAGATATCAAAGGGAGAACACAGTCATGGCTGCCAATTTGTTTGATGTAACGTGCCTTAGATGGGTCAGTCAGAAATTCATAGCTCTTAGGTGGAGTCCGGCTACACTGTTTCAAGAGCCAGGACTCCCCCATCCCCAGCCATGTTCACTCCGTCATTCTCATGTGTCACCTATCCAGTGGACTCCGGTGCCAGGGAGCGATGGCTGACCTCAGGACCTGCCACCCCAGCTCCTGCCCTGCACGGTATTCGATTTAATGTCGATGACACTGACTACTCACCTGAGGCCACTAGTTCTTTTTGTTTTAAAACTCAGAGAAACTAATGCTACTCTACCTTCTCCTTTTGCTTCTTCTGTCACTTGGTAGAGAGACTGTCTTTGTCCTATCTCACTTAGGCAGCCTGCTTGCTCCTCTCAGCTGCAGGAGTGTCCCAATGCATTCTTCCTAAATGGACATTCCAGTTTTCAAAGAAGTTGGCACTTCATCATCAGCAATTTTTATACATTCCTTTTCAATTTGATTCCAAAGATATACTATCCAGACCTGCTGTGAGTTCAGTTTCTGTTCCTACATACTGCAACCAGACCCATAAAACTCAAAAGCTAAAGGCTGGGATTGCTATAAAGAAGCAAAAAAAATCTTAGAGGAAAAACAAAAAGCAAAAACAAAGTAATCTGTAGAGTTGAATTTTAAAAAAGACAGATCAGGGCTGGGTGCAGTGGCTCATGCCGGTAATCCCAGCACTTCAGGAGGCTAAGGTGGGTAGTTCACAAGGTCAGAAGATTGAGACCATCCTGGCTAACATGGTGAAACCCCATCTTTACTAAACACAAAAAATTAGCCGGGCATGGTGGCATGTGCCTGTAGTCCCAGCTACTTGGGAGGCTGAGGCAGGGCAATCGCCTGAACCCAGGAGGTGGAGGTTGCAGTGAGTCAAGATCACGCCACTGTACTCCAGCCTGGTGACAGAATGAGACTCCGTTTCAAAAAAAAAAAAAAAAGATCCTTTCTACAACAGTTTTCGCCTTTTTATTAAAATTTCACTTCCCCAATGCATAGAACCAATTTTAAATAGAATCCTAATTGAAGCTACAAGAACCAGCCAACATCATATCTGCAATTCTGAATGTCCTTTCATTTAGAATCTTTGGCTGCTTAATACATTTTGCATTGCACCCATATGTCCTGGGAAAAAATGGTGAGACATATGATTATTTAAGTTATGTTATATAAATTTAGGATCTAAACATATCTTACCTGTAAGTATGTTTCCAAACCTTGTCGGCGCTGTTCCAAGACTTTGGGGACCCAGTTCCTAACATGTTTAGAAGGGATTTCTGGAGTTTTTATGCATTTCTTAAGCTATAAAGACAGAGTAGAAAAACAAAAAAAAAACAAAAAAAACAGAGATGTCAGTTAATTATAATGACATTATTTGGGAGAAAAAAAGCCAATAAAGGAAAGTGAACTACTGCTATCTGCAATAAAAAATAGAGAAAAATATAATTTCACTGAAATTTTGTCAAACAATTCTTTATTTAGGTGTCTTGACTACTGAGGTTTCTGAAGGATAGTTTTGTGTTTTGGTAGGTATTATTGTTCATATTTCAGATTGAAATCCCTTTTCCTGAAAAATTCAAAGCCCAGTAAATGAATAAAAAAGAAAGTAAAGAAATTTAGTCACAAAAATCAATTAATACAACAAAATTTTGCTCAGATGAAGAATTTCACTGATAAAAAGTCTTTCTACATATTTTTCACATAAAGAAATCAAAACAAAAGGCAACTGTCTAGAAATGCCGTTAACTAGACAACATCATTTAGAGAGAAAACTAAAAAAATGAAAGCCTAATCTTTTCAATGTTCCTAACAATTACTTTCCAACTCCATTCATGAAAACTCAATGTTAGTTCTCATCTCAGCTAAGCCTTTTGGGACAGCAGTTTTAGGGGATAATATAAATAAAGAAAAATTTCTTTGCAGGTTGCATTAGAACTGTCTGTAGTAGATAGAGTAATCCTCCTTCTCCAAAGATACCCAAATCCTAATCCTGTGGATGTTACCTTATGTGGCAAAAGGGACTCTGTAGATTTGGTTAAATTGGTGGTCTTAAAATAAGAAGATTCTCCTGGATTGCCAGGGTGGGCTCAGTGTAAGGAGCCTTGTAAAAGGGAGGCAGCAGAATAAGTTGGAAGAGATTGGAAGAAACAATGCCACTGGCTCCAAAGATGGCAAAAGAGGCCACAAGGCAAGGTGACCTCTAGAAGCTGGAAAGAATGAATTCTGCCCTAGAGCCTTCAGAGGAAGTGTCATCCTTCTGACGCCTTGATTTTAGCCCAGTGAAACCCACCTCAGACTCCTCACATCAGGAAGTGTAAGACAATAAACTTACTGTTTGAAGCCACTAAGTTTATGGTAATTTCTTATAGCAGCAATAGGAAACTAATACACTGCCTCTAAAAATGAAATGTGCTTAATTGCTAATTAAAAACTTAAAAAAACCTACCAAGGTTGCTCCTTTACTAAACATGCACAGAAGCAACACAGTTATGAATAAGAAAATGCACGGAATTAAACCTGGGCAGCTAAAACCATCATGAAAAATTCTTTCCATACGTAAGAGTAAAATTTGTTGTACATCACAAAGAAGGGGCCCATGTACTGGCTAGAGTGGAGCGGCCATCTTTGCCTCTGAGGTAGAAGTCTCACATGAAAATGGTAAAGCAGCAAGCGCGTGGGTCCCTGACAATCATGAAACCACCACACCAGCACCAGACATTTATGGAGGAAGGAAACAAGTTGTATCTGCTAATGTCATCATTATTTTGGTTTCAGAGTCACTTGCAGCCAAATCTAATCCCACACAAACAAGGGATGTGGCTAGCACTGCTAGCTGCTTAGCCAATATTCATTCCCTTCTTCTTTTGGGGGAAAAAAATCAATGTCATTCAGAGGGCTAACATGTTGAGCTATAAATTGGTTTTCCAGGTTCCCTTTTAACTAGGGTGACCATGTGACAGAGTTACGAATATGTGTACATGTCTACTAGGGGTAGGACTCTTTTTTCCTAACAAAAAGCAACAGGCTTTTCTTGCCAGAAAATGGAGAAGCCATGCCTGGAGGGGTGGCAGCTATGTTATCACCAGAAGTGTGAAAGTGCTAAGATGAAGACAGTGAAGTAGGGAAACACCAAGAGCCCAGAATATAATGTTGTGAGATGCCTGCATCACCTTGACTGCCTGCCTTTAGTTTTCCTATGAGAATAATAAATCTCTTACTTGTTTAAGAAATCTAATCAAGTTTCTATTACATGCAATCAAAGACACTACTAATATAAAGGAATCACTTGTTCTAGTTTAAGTCAGAGATGCTCAATAGGTTCCAAGCAGAGATGTTGGGTAGGCAGGTGGATATGGGTCTGTAAATGTGGGGGTCAGAATGTATGGGTATTTAGAGCCATGTAACTATAGGAGATGGCATTAAGACTTAGGTACAGATGGATAAAAAAGGCTGTGGTGGACAGAATCCTAAAAATGATCCCCTGGTGTAAATGCCTTGTATGATCCCCTCCTCTTGAGCAGGAGTGGGACCTGTGACTATGTTGGGTCAGTCACTCCCATGATTACACTGTGTTATATATGATAGTCCTAGCAGACTGCTGGCTTTCAAGTAAGGTGTCACACGATGAGAGGGCCACTTGGCTAGGAGCTGAGAGCTGCCCCTTGTGTTCAGCCAGCAAGGAAAAAAAGAGACCTCAGTCCTGCAACTGCAAGCTACTGAATTCTGCCTGAATGAGCTTGGAAGAGGGCCCCAAGCCTCAGGTGGGATGGAGCGGCAGGGAAGAGAAGCAGGGCAATCACTGGAGGAAGTGGGGGAGTAGGTTTCATCAGGAGGACAGGGATAATCAGACTGTGCCAGATGATGGGAAGTCAGTAACTCGGGTACAGAGAGAAAGGCAGTGGGGAAGTAGCAGCTCCTCTTTCAAGGAGTTCTGCTAAAAGAAGGAGTGCAATGGGATGAGTGCAGAAGGGAAGCAAGGGGCCAAAGGCAGGCTTTATTTTGTGAAACAGAAACTACTGCGGTAGGTTCATATATTGATGAGACTGATTCCATATTGACGGGGAAGCTGATAATGCAAGAGACAGAGAAGGAGGGAGCTTTATAATTGCGGACAGTGGAATGAATACATATTTCATCTCTATATGGTCTGAGGCATTTCTCAAGAACAAGGCCAAAATGCTAAATTATTCTGGGGTAATAAGCCTATTAAGTTTCACTTTAAACATAAAGAAACTTCCTTTCAAACCTCTGAATCACAACATATATTTCAGAATAGAAAATCAACTCCATTATATGTTTCCCCTTTAAAAAAAACTTTTGAAGATCGAGCACTGAAAACATTTTTCCTTTATTTACGTCAGGAGTACTGAGGAAGCGGATCATCAGAGCTGCTGGGATCAGTGACAGCATTTGTAGGTGAGTAATGAATGGCTTTAGATGAGAGACAAACCCAAGACAATATGTTTCCAGTAGGGCTCAGCTGCTTATAAGATAAATACTCCTCTGCCACTTCATCCGATGATTAACGGTGCTGGCCCAGCTGCGTCCCGGCAAACGGCCTCTCTGATTCACACAGATAAGTACCAGATTTAACGATACCACAAACACAATCCCCTTTTCTTGGTGTGGCCACTCCCTTTTCCTTTTTTATACTGCTAGAAGAATTTACACAGAACTTACTCCACACAGACCTACCACTGCGTACATTGGTTATAGTAGCCATTTTCCACAAAGAAGCAGAAAGACTTTTCCCAAGCACATGAATGAAAAGCACAAAAAAGAAAAGAAGAGTTAAGGAGGTGTGATACATTTGGGGATAAAATCCCATCTTCCCCCCAGGGTTCCCTTTAGAGAGAATGTACAGGGTGCTGTCCTACTGGTTTGACCCCACATGGCGGGTTTTTGGTTCTTCTTTACTGTCTACTTCATGGAAATAAATACAGGAGAATGAAGTCTTTTACTCAAGCCAAAAGTAGTCAATAATAAAAAATGAAGATCATTAATTTAAAAATGAAACAGCACCATATTTCACTGAAACCTCTGTGAATAAAAGGATGGGCTGCAACTGACAGAAAACAGCTGGGAAGGCATGAAAATGAAATGTGCTTAGTAGTTTGCCATGCCGGAAAGGTTTCTCTGTCCATACATGCAATTTTTGACCTAGGGAGGTAAAGTTCTTTTCAGGAACCACCATTTAAAATAGTAAATTCTAAGCCGGGCGCGGTGGCTCAAGCCTGTAATCCCAGCACTTTGGGAGGCCGAGGCGGGTGGATCACGAGGTCGAGAGATCGAGACCATCCTGGTCAACATGGTGAAACCCCGTCTCTACTAAAAACACAAAAAAGTAGCTGGGCATGGTGGCGCGTGCCTGTAATCCCAGCTACTCAGGAGGCTGAGGCAGGAGAATTGCTTGAACCCAGGAGGCAGAGGTTGCGGTGAGCCGAGATGGCGCCATTGCACTCCAGCCTGGGTAACAAGAGCGAAACTCTGTCTCAAAAAAAAAAAAAAAAAAAAAATAGTAAATTCTTTGGTGGTAGTGGGGTGTGGACAGGTGTAGCAGAGGCTCACGGGAAAACACTTACAAGCTTGAAGGCTCACCCTGTCACAGGAGCCTGTGCCTGGGCTGTAACGAAGAAGACTAGGATGGGGTTTGGTTTTGTTTTGGGGTGGACCTGGTGTTCTTCCCACCTAGTACTAGCGGAGGAGCTACAAGGCATCAAGGCAAGCACAACGTGGGGTTAAACTTAACAGAGAATGCAAACTCCCACAGTAGAAACTGTTTCTCTAGTAATTCATAAATATGTATGATGCTCTCCAAATATGCCATTTGCCAAATACTTATTTAATGCCCAGTATGTGCCCAAGACCCTACCACACACTCGTGGAAGATGTGAAAGATAGGACATGGTCTCAACTTTTTAAAAAGTACCTTCTAATTAGACATAATTTGGGGATTACAGTTTTATCTCATATGTTTCCAAAATTTAAGCAGAAATCTCTATTCTAAATGGAACAGGAGTTCTAAGAACAAAGACATTAGGGAAGAAAAGGAGCTAACATGAAAAAAGGAGAACTTGAAATGTCTTGGTGTGAACAGACCAGAACACAGAGGAAAGGACATTCGGCAGGGCAAAGACAGGTGGGAAGCAATTTTTAAGGCATATAATGGGGTAACGGGAGATACTGGCTCAGCTGTCACTGAAGGCTCTTAGGAGGAGTGAAAAATAAAGTTGGCCAGCAAAGGGGTTAGTGATAGACAGAATAATGGTTTCTTCAAAGATGTCCAAGTTCTAATCCCCAGA